CGAACAGCAGGACTTATCTGCCTGCAGGCGTGAAGTGAAGCCGGTGTGGGCCCCACAGGCCGCCAGTGAGCCGTGGTCCTTGCTCTAGTGCCCCCTCAGCAGCCGCCGAAGAGGGGACTCACTGCCCTCCAGGGGCCAAGCCCAGCAGAGCCATCCCCACCCTGGAGAACAGGATCTCGAAAAACCAGCCGAGAGCGCTCTCCCATTCTTTCAGACAGGTGTGGTCGGCCCCAGTGGACGCCATGTTGTTTTTCAAAAGGTGTTAATGTAGAGTTGTGTGTTTTTTCCCTAAACTAAAACCTCCTCAGTACTCAGGTTTAATTGTAGTGTTCACACCTTGCAATAAATAAGTGGGTTTTAGGTTGCAGTTTGGATTCGCCAAGGGTTCACCCAGGAGATGAAGCGATGGTGTAGCACAAGGTTGGAGGCTTAAAGTGCCCATCTGGATGGCTGAGTTTGAGGAGCGAGGAAGGGAGCACATTACACGGGTCCTTGCACACTCGGATGAGAACGTGAACGTTTTAGTTTTACTTTCTTGAGACAAAGCCTTGTGTTTTCTAGGAGAGCCCCAAACTTCAGGGCTCATGTGATCCTCCTGCCTCAGCCTCCCAAGTAGCTGGGACTGCAGGCACAGGCCAGTGCACCCTGCTAAGTCCTCGGACATCTTAGCGAGGAGATGATGGATGTCACGGTTTCAGGCAGAGGAGCTCTGTGGAACAGCCTGTCTGATGGTACGGTGGGGTGATGAGAGTCCAGGGCTGAACCCCAGGCTCGGGATAGTGATCCGGAGCAGAGAGCCCTAGCCCTGACCCCAGCCCAGCTGGCTTACTTGCAGGAAACTCACTTTCATAGGAGAAGTTGCTTCAGCGAATAAAGCAGCAGCTTGGGGCCAAGTGAGCTTTGGACAGCTTCTCCAGGAGCTCACTTTGAAGCAAGTCGCCTGCCAGGCAGGGAGGTGCACACCTGACATCTTGGCAGGGAGAAGCCGAGGCAGGAGAATCACAAGTTCAAATCCAGCCTGGGCAATTTAGCAAGCTCTGCCTCAAAGTGAAAACTAAAAAGGACTGAGATGTGGTTTCACGGCATAGCACTCGTCTAGTACATGTGAGGCTCAGACTCGATCCCCAGGACAGCAAAAAAGTGGGGGAAGGAGTTGCTGGACCTCCCTGTTTCAGCTATTTCACAACAAAGATGACACAAAGCATAAAGCAAGCTGAGGTGCTAAGGGATGGTAGCAGAAGAGGGGACGGACGGACAGACAGACGGGAAGAGAGCTGGGTGCAGCTCCACCGGGCAGGTGCCCCAAGCTGCGGTGGGTGGGAGGGGGGGACACACGACAAGCGCCGCACTGTGCCCAGGGAGACCCCCAGCCTCCTGCAGCAGGGGTGCCCTCCAGGGTGCAGCAGAAGCCTTGCAGGGGAGCGGCTGCCTGCTGGGAGGTGGTACCGTCAGAGAGGGAAGGAAAGCGTACTGTTATCAGGACGAGAGGGCCGCTCTTGAAGCCCACAGTGCTTTATCTCTGCTCAAGAAAGGCCTCGAGGCGGGGAGAAGCCCATGATTTATGGGCTGAGGTGCAGTGGAGGAAGATGGCATGAGGCCATGACGGTTCCATCCTGTAAAATAACAAACACCCCCTTAATCCGCACCCTCAGCGATGCACAGATGTGGAACAGCAGTGCCCTTCGGTCTTGGCCACAAAGGGACTGCACTGACTCCCCTGTCACACGACGACTCTGACAAGCAGACCCGCAGAGGCGGATCAGTGGCTGCTGGGGGAGAGCGGATGGGGACGGGGACTTGGAGCGGTGGCGGAAGGACATGCTGTTTCGCTCTTTCCTCCCCCTTCTCCTCTTCCTCTCTTCCTCTCCTCGCTCCCTCCTTCCTCCTTTCCAGGGCTGAGATCAAACCTCGGGTCTGCCGTGGAGGGGCTTGACCTCCAGACCCCGGGTTTCTTCCTGAAGTGGTAAACGCCCTAACACCGACTGCGGGATGGTCGCGCAGCTCTGCAGACGCAGCTCTGACGAGGACACCCCGACGTGAATCGCACCCCAATAGAGGGATACCGAAACCCCACAAAACTTAAACATGCACTGCATGAAAATCCCTAAAGGGCGCCACCCCTGCCTGGACACAATGGTTCTCAGTTCGTCAGGCCTGAGGGCGCCACTAAAGGTAGCCGAGCTGGTGACAAAGGACAAATACTGACGCTAACCCGAGGAGGGACCCAGACGGCAGAGCTCACTGAACCCAGGAGGGCGGCGGGGACGGCTGGACTCGGGGAGGACAAAGTTCCACGCAAGACCGACCCTCGGCTCAGGGCTCTGCCGGGCGACGCCAGACCTGCAGTGGACAATTCTGCATCCGCACTCCAAGCGGGGAGGGGACCTCACGCTGAGGGTCATAACACAAAGAAAATGATAGAAATAAGTGACTACGATAGGGCGGTTTGTCTGGAGGAAGAGCCAGTTTGAAAAAAAAGAAGTGAAAGGCCACATCCGGCTATGCTACAGAGCTGTGCTACTTTTCAGACGTGATCACTGCACGGGGGTCGTACGTTTCTTAGAGCACCTGGTCACTCAGGGACACGTGCGGAGAGGTCACGACTGAAATGACTGCACGTCTGCCACTGAGATTTCATCCTAATGATTCACGGGGGAGGGGGGTGGAGAGCGGACGGGGGCACACGAACAGGACGGACGGCTGAGACGATAACAGGTGCAAGGGGCTGTACGGTATCACTTTTTAATTTGAAAAGGTATGAAATTTAGCATAAAGTTCTCATGAAAAATGAATGGGCCCGTGCTCCTGGGTGAGGAGGCCCGGAAGACCAGCAGTGAGGCCTGCCGCAGGAGCAGAGCAGACCCCGCGTCTGGCCCGGCCCGGCTGTGGGACCACAGCGGCTTCCCTGGGGGCTGCTGGGCGGATCCACCACACACGGGGTCAGGAAGCAGGCGATGGGCGAGTGGGGCGTCAAGAAAAGCTGGCTACAGCGCACAAATGGCAGTGACCATGAAATTCAACATCCAGTCAGAGCTACACTGCCGAGGGCTCCCTGTCACTGGTGTGACACTGCCACCCACGGTGACAGGCCTCAGGTGTAAACTGACGAATGGATTAATATATTCCCAGGCAAAGAAAAAAATATAAGAAAATGAAAAAATGGAAATGAAGTGTTTGTAAAGGGGGAGGGGAGGAGGAACAAGGGGGAAAAAGTGAGAACCAAAATGTAAAGGCACAAGATCCCAATGATGAATGTAACTGTACTGTCTACCTAAAATGGACCAATAAACTCAATGAGGAAAAAAATAGATTCCTAGGCTCATCTTTAATGCTTTTGAGACAGGGCCTCATGTAGCCCAGATTGGCCTCAAGCTCCTTGGCTCTAACAATCCTTTTGCTTAGCCTCGAGCTCACAGCCTTGCACACTACGTCAGAGGATGCCCGGGCAGTGGGCACAGAGGAGCGGCATGAAAAGGGAAGGGGGTCACTACTATTGCAAGAGGCTGCCCCCAAATCCCAACAGAGCAGCTCTTACAAAATTAAACAGTAGAAACGTAATGGGAAAAAAAGAAAGAAAAAAATAACGTCACGTTCATATATCAACATGGAATGTAAACATTGTATACTACAAATACGTACTGGTAAATGTAAGTAAAAAATAACATAAGGAATAAGGGAAGGGGGTCACTACTATTGCAAGAGGCTGCCCCCAAATCCCAACAGAGCAGCTCTTACAAAATTAAACAGTAGAAACGTAATGGGAAAAAAAGAAAGAAAAAAATAACGTCACGTTCATATATCAACATGGAATGTAAACATTGTATACTACAAATACGTACTGGTAAATGTAAGTAAAAAATAACATAAGGAATAAACAAAATTAAACAGTAGAGTTAAGCAGCCCCTAAAAGTTGACCGTGTATGTGTATGTGTTGGGGTGGGAAGTCCTTTAGAAAAGGCTTTCCTTGCATGCTTTTGGAAGCTAAATTTTAACCAGTCTTCCTTGCTGCTCAGGATCTCCTGACAGGGTGGGGAGGACGACCTTCTACCTTTATTCCCAATTCTACTTATACTCAACAAGGGCTGGCGCTCAGGTGCCCTTCCTCTTTGTGTCGGCCATGCGAGAGACCAAAACACCATCCCTGGGAGCGAGCCCATCAGGGAACCTGAGAGGAGGCCTACTCCTCCAGAGCCCACAGCAGCCCGCCCGTCACCCAGGGTGTAAAGAAGAGGTCCTCGCCCAGGCCCTGCTGCTCCCAACTGGTCTGGGGAGCGAGGGGCTGGCGGAACCTTCGCTGGAGTCCTGCTCGGGGTTCTTACCCCTGCATGAGCCCTCGCCCTGACTAAGTACAAAGCACTGGACCGCGACAGGTGGATTTTGCTGTGCAGCTCAAAGCACAAAGATTGAGGAAACCAAAGAGAAGAAACAGAGAGCGCTCAGCCTAACTGAAGCTGGAGGAGGAGAGACTTCACCAACACCACGAAATTAACGACTGTCCCAAACGACAAACCCAATGGGGAAGAGGTGAAGGAGGCACAAGGGGGATCAGGACCAGGACCGAGGCACATGCCGGCCCTCCCACCACCTCCAGGCACAGCCTCTCCTCCCCCACATGTCCGCATCCTGCTCCCCAGGGCAAGGCCTGGTGCACAAGCTCCAGCACCACTTTCCCGGGTGGACCCCAGCCTGTGTCCACGCCGAGCTCTGAATAACCTGATAACCTCAGATAAGCCATCTGACCACCTGTCTACGCAGAACGCAAACACAGCAGCTGGGTCGTTCACACAAGGCAGATCTTTTCAGGCGAGCTCTGATCGTCTCAAGAGAGAAATCCCAGGCTGCTGCCCCTGTTAAAAAGAGGTTTCACTGTGTGCTCCAAAGCCACGATCTGCCCGTTTTCAGCAAGACAGACCCTGGGTGCACTCTTGGGAAAAAGAGACAAACAGATGGCGGACAGGAAAGAGCAAGAGCTGTTCAGCTTGGTACTCGTGCTTCTTACCCACATATTCTGAGAGGAAGACGACAAAGAACGGAGTGACCAGGTCATTAATTCCCTGGACGTACCCACTGGCAGGGTGTCGGATGGCCCAAATAAACAGAATTCTTTCAAAGATCTGGGAAAATGAGAGAGAGAAAAGACACAACGGTTAAACTTCAGGGACACGCTCTCTCCCTCCACTTGCCTACTTCACAATTCGTTCCAGGACAGAATTTTTAGGGACATTTTAAAATACTGTGGAACAAAGGAGAAATATCAGCACAGAGTCTCTCACACTAGTTGCTCCGTGCATTTCTTGCCACTTTTATCCTTGCAGTGTCTGGTTACCGTGTCGTAAACTGGGAAAGGAAAGCGACACAAACGCCTCAGCTGAAGTTTCACCGTGGGGCCATTGATCAGTCCACACATCGGCCTGTGCACGAGGTGCGTCTCCGTTTCCAGGAGGAGCGCATCTGAGCACCCGGTTCTGCTGCCTTTTTCTAAACCTTTTCTGGTCACTGCGGGATTTACGGAGGCAATGACTTTCTCCACCACCCTCTCCTCTCGCCCTACTGAGGAGGAAGGAGATCCAGACCCAGGTCTCGCCCAGCCCGCAGGAACAAGGGACAGACTAGACACGCAGTAGTCCCTTCCTACCACAGCGTGCAGCCCAGACACCTGCGGAGGATGGAACTCAAGGAAACCAAATCCAATAGTGTCCCACAGCTGGGGCTGCGAGAGACAGAAATCACCACGGCCCCTCGGGAAAGGATCCTGGGTGAAGTGCATTTGTCACTGGATGCCAGAGGCCTAGGTCGGGGATGCAGATTGGATCTCACAGTCCCTTCGGAGAGTCACGCTCTGTCCTGTTCAACTGTACCCCTTGGTTTCCTCGGACTCCGAACTCCTCCTCCGCCCAAGGTACCCGCTGCCTGGCTTCGGCCTGGGACCGCGAGCCCTGGGGCCTCTGTCCAGTGGCCTCTCATCTCGTGAGCCACACCAGAGGGATGCAGAGCGGAGGGCAGCACTGTGTGGGGAAAGGAGACCACGGGGCCCCCACAGCACAGACTCTGCTCCCCATCAAGTTAGAGAGGCCTCCCGAGCAGGCCGTCTCCCAGGGAGACTGAGAAAGCAGATGGTTCCACAGTTTTGAAACTGTTACTTAGGTTCTGAAGGGAAGAGGTAAGCAATCTATGGACATAACAAAGGGTGTTTCTCAGCCCCTGTCGTGGTAGCGGGGGCTGCAGTCAGCTGTCAGAGCCAAGACACCCTCCGCCGGCGGTGAGGACCGGGCCTCTCTGCCTCGCTAGATGCTCCTCTTGCTCTCTGGTGGGCGAAGGACACAACCTTCGGCGTGCTGGTCCCTGCCTGCACACAGTTTCCTCTCTGACACTGGGCGGCCTCTCTCCCTTCCCTGCCTACGGATTCCTAGCTAGACCCACCGTGTTCAGAGTCTCGACAATGCCCACCCCGCTGTTTCTCCATCCTCACACAGCCTGAGTCCATCTGCAGCCTGGTGCAGAGGCCCCGGGGGCAGGGGGTGGCTCAGCGGCCGAGCAGGCATCTGCCGTGTGCGTGGCCTTGGGTCCATCCCAGCAGCGACCAACTCTCCTCCGGGTGCGTCTCTGAAGGACTTGGAAGGCTGCGTGCTGCATGCTGTCAGCCCCTGGTGACCACACGGAACCCCGGGCTGGCTCTAGCGACGGCCACCTTCAGGGGCACTGGCAGCAAGGGCTAATGGGAGGACATGGGCCCCCGAGCCAGGGGAGCCCAGAATAACCCGCCCTACAGGCAGGAGGGGTCCGACAAACCTCTTCTAACCTGGGTAATTCTGGCTTACTACAGAGGAAGTTCACGTATCTCAGGTCTCCAAGCACACCTTTCAGTATTCAGTGTCGCCCAATTCTTTGCCCCTATTTCTCTCAGTACTGGGGACTGAACCCAGGACCTCTGCGCTGAGCTACATTGCAGTCCTTTTCATTTATTTATTTTTATTTTTTAAGTAGTTGAGACAGGGTCTAAGTTGCTAATTTTCCCAGGTTGGGCTGGAACTTGCAATCCTCCTGCCTCAGCCTCCGGGAGCGCTGGGATTACAGGTGTGTGCCGCCACACCGGCTGGTGCTCTGCTCTTCTGTTGGCATTCTTACTCTGCTTAAGAGGACTACAGCCCTGCTACATAAAATACTGATTGAAGAAAAACTGGAAAGAATCAAACAACTTCCCACACTTGGATTCAGGTCCAGGTCCTGCTCCTAGAAGAAGCCTCAACAAATCATTGTCCCCGGACACAGGGAAAGGCTAAGGAGCCGGACATCAGCAAGCTCAAATGAGGACTACGCAGGGCTGAGCCACGGGAGGCCGAATGGGATGAAGAAAGGATCCCAGATGCAGTTTTAGCCTCCTAGGAGCTGAATCTTACAGGTAAAATAATGGTGTCACCCGCAAAGTCTTCCTTATGTCCCTGAGAAGTCAGGGGGGTACGGCCAGTGGGGCCATCTACAGCAGCAGCACTATGAATACTGCTCAGAGCCACATAGCCATTGGGGAGCATTTCACTGCCATCCCTCTCCGAGGAGGACTGAAAGCTCTAAGGAAAAGCACTAACACTCGGCATTGTCCTGACTGCCAGGCGCTCGCACGGAAACCCCTGATCTTCTCAAGGAGTTCGTCACAGGGGCCGGGGATTTAGCTCAGTGGTTCTGCCGCCTGCCTCGCAAGCGCAAGGACCTAAATTCAATCCCAGGCACCAAAAAAAAAAAAAAGGAGTTTGTCATAAATAACAGACAGTGCAGGTCACAAGACTAGAGTTCTCTTGAGCCCTTCACGAATGTCACTAATTCCTTAGGTCTCTAAATAGTGCCACTCACTGGGTGCCATGATGCACACCTGTAATCCCAGCACTCAGGGAGGCTGAGGTAGGAGGATCCTGTGAATTAGAAACCTGCCTAGGCTACATAGTGAGTCCAGGTCAGGTCAGTCTCAACTACATAGTGAGACCCTGTCTCAAAAAACCAAAACACCAAAAACAAAAAAATTATAATGGCTCATTAAAAATCACTCATTTCACTTCTGGATTTAACCCAGCCAGACTCTAAGAAGGGACGCAGTCAGATATGTGTGTGCACACGCTCACTGGGGGCATCCTGCACCATGGCCACAGGAGGAACCGGCGACACATCTGTGTGCTTTTGTGGAGGGGAAACCTGCCCTCCGACACAGCCTGAGTGAGCCTTGAAAATATCATGTCAGCACTTGGGAGGCTGACGCAGGATTGCTGTGAATTTGAGGCCAACCTGGGCTGAGTTCAAGGCCAGGATGAACTACATCATGAGACCCTGTCTCACTAAAAAATCATGCTAAGTAAGTTGAGCCAGTCACAGAACGACAGATACTGCATAATTCCACTAACTTAGGAGGCCTAGAGGGGTGAAATTCACAGAGACAAAGGGCAGAAGGTGGTGGGAGGGATGGGGCTTGCTGTTTATCGGGTACCAAGTTTCAGTCTGGACACAGCTGGCAACAACGACCACAATGTGAATGTACTTAATGCTACAGCATCGCACACTAAGAAATGTCTTTCAAAAACTGCCCAAGGCTTTTCTGTTGAAGGCAGAAAAAAGTCAGTGGTTAGAACGGCACATTTTATGTAGGTCACGCTTTTTTGTTTTGGTTTTGATTTTTGAGACAGGGTCTTGCTTTGTAGCCCAGGCTGGCCTCGAACTCTTGGCCACCCTCCTTCTGCAGCCTCACGGGTGCAGGCGCCACCACACCCAGCTATGCACATTTTATCACTTTTTTTTTTTTAATGAAATCAGTATTCCCAGCCCGGTAAATTAGAGCAAACTTAGGAGCAGGAACTCTAGGGTGTGGGCTCTCCAGTGTTACCAGGTAGCTTTGAGACACCGCAAGTCTTAGCCTCTAAGAGTGTGCTGGGCAGTGTGTCCGTTCTGAAGACCAAATGGGGACGAGCAGTGCCCTGTGCCCCCCCACTTATAATGTGGGCCCCGGTGACAGGGAGAAGCAGCAGAGGGTTAAGCAATTCCTCACCTCCTGCACGAGGGGCTGCTGGAACAATGGAATGAGAGGATTCGTCCTCGGAATGTCAATGTGAATCTGAAAGAGGCCGCAACAAAAGCAAAATGCAGGTGTGTTCTTTAGAGAAGTTTTTTACTTAGGGACTGGGAATCAAAGGAGCAAAAGTTAGAGCACAATCTACCTTAGAAAGAACTGACACAGAAAGAAACCAAGAGGTCCCGTTACCCTGCCTGCTTCCATGAGAGCCGTTCTCACAGCGAGGAAGCCTCCCAGGTTAACCACGTCCAGGACACAGCCCCAGGCTCCCCCACCTCTCTGCAGCCTCAGCCTCTCCGGGCTGCCCCTCACAGACCTCTTTCCAGATCCTACTCACCAACAGACTACTCCTCCCAAGACGGAGGAGCCCGCCGTGACACAAACGTGCCAGGACGGGGGACCCGCGGGAGCTGCGCGCAGCCAGGACGTGTGAGAAATGGGTCAGGGCCAGGGGCCGGATGTCAGTGCCGCTAGGTTTGGCCCTGGGGGTCCCGATGCCCAGCCCACCCGTCCTAAAGACAGCGGCTGCGGAGCAGCAGCAGCAGAGGCCACCGCAGTTCCGGGATGGCTGGAGAGCACTGCCTGCCCGCCTGCCCGCCTGCCCGCCTGCCTCCCCGGGCTCTCCCCGACCCGTGGCCTTTCTGCACTGCTGGGCGCCTGCGTTCGCTGTGCCTCTGGGCAGGGTTCCGGCAAGGCCCAGGGGGACTGGTTTGTTCAGTGAAGTCAGAGAAGCACTGCGAAAAACCTCTACCATCTAAAACCAGAGCTTCTGGATGGACAGAAGGGAAGGAGTCCTGGAAATGAACTTTGTGCGTGGCCTGAAGATTTGCAAAGCCTCCACCCAGGATGCTACCAGCAGACCCCTTACCCAGGTGACCAACAAGCTGAGGGACGGCGGGGCCGGTACCTGTCTGTACGTGTCCTGGTGATGCTCCTCGTTTCGAGAGTCGTAATACTGCTCGATGAAGCCAAAATACTCCTCCCGCTTCCGCTGCAGGGTCAGCTTCCGCCTCTCCATGTTCGCTGGGAGGTAGCCCTGTGGAGAAGCCTGCCATCAGCTGGGGACAGACCCGGCAGGGAGTCCTTCACCTCCCTCCAGCCTGAGCAGTGGCCTGGAAACCATCAAAGGAGCAGACGGAAAGCTGCCAGCAGGGCGGGTGAAGCCCTCCCGGGTTCTGGCCAGGCGACTCCCCAGGGCCCTGCGCTCCTCTGATGAGCGCCACACAGCTCACGAGGCCAGCACTGCACCGCGGAGGGCAAATGCAGCTGGCAGCAGGAGCCTGAGCGAGTCACAGCCTCTGCGAGCACATCACCCTGTCCTCCCTCGAGCAAAGGAGGCTGGGGGTCACTGCCACAGCTGCAGAGTGGGTTCCGGTGCTGAGAAAGTGAGAAAGCATGCCGCCGGGGAGAGCTGGGGTCACCCCGCCTGGCTCTGTCGTGCCTCGCGTTAAGAAGGCTGAGACCGTGACCACGAGTGCGGTGAGGAGGAGGAGGCTCTGTGCACACAGAGGTGTGGAGCAGGGCAGAGAGACGGAGCGCGAGCCCCGTCAGAGAGCGCCCACGGAGGGCAGGACTCACCGACAGCAGCCTCCAGGTCACCGGCCGAACCTCCCGGGGGACCCCTGGCCAGCTGCACTTCCTCAGTTCATCTGCAATCAAAGGACAGCCCGGTGGGACGAGATCCTCCCACAGCCCTGAACCAACCTGCCGCTCACGTAAGGGCACCGCCACCATCACCAGGCCCAGGCAGCCTCACTGCAGCCCCGAGCAGAGGAGCTGAGCCATGCCCTGCAGAGTGGGTGAGCGGAGGGCCCAGGGTGCAGACTCAGGAAGAACGACCCCGAGGCAGGAGACAGGAGCCAGAGGCGCTGCACTATGGTCTACAGGCCCCGGAAGTAAGTCCCATCTAATTTGGGCCCTGATCTCTAGCAACAGCCTCTGCCTTAATAGCTGCGCGTCACCGCCCTGGGCGCCTGATCAGGAGAGGCTAGGAGAGTAAAAGGGGGGAGGATAAAGAGCACTGGCATCCGGCCCTGAGAAGTCCAGTCCCCAAGCGCTCCTGCCTGCCCGCCTGGACTCACCTAAGTCAGTGTTGTGGCTGGAGAGAAGCTGGCGGAACTTTTCCAGGCGGGTTTTCTCCCGGACTGTCATGGGCGGTGCTCCGGAAGCATTCTGGTCAGAGATCCGGGCGACAAGGGGGATGATGGGCCGGAGAGGGAGGGACTGCTGTTTGTGGAGTGGGTTCCTCAGGCATGCATCACCTGAGATCGGTGGAAAGAGAGAGAGAAGGGCTGGAGGATACGCACAGATCGGGAGAAAGCTCAACCCGGGCTGCCCACATCTGGCTCCTGCTGCAAACTGAGCCCAGATACTGCAATGACTTCCGGGAAGCCCGTGCAACTCAAGCACACTGGGGTGTTTCCGTCATGCACCAGCGGGAACCTCTCACCGGCTAAGAGCAGGCTGCTCTCCACGAGCCCCAGGCCTGCCTGGCCGCCCCAAGGCTGAGTGACCAATGGCCCCACAAACTCTAACCTGTCCCAGGGCCCCAGAGGAGAGATCCCCCGGCAGGGACACGGCCCGCCACAAGGAACCGCCCTGACTTGGGACAAGTGACTGAAATAACAGCGACACGGGCTCGGGCAGAGGTTGGCAGGAGGACCAAGCAGTAGAGGACTAACACTGAGTGCCTGCGGCACGCAAGCACCGTGCGGATCCTCACAGCCTAAGCTGAGAACAGAGCCCTACTTCACAGCCTGCAGAAGGGAGGGGAACTCTAAGGGGCAGCGGACATGACACCTTGGGTGTGTCCACTCCGAAACCCTTATTGACGGCATCTCCACAAGGAAAATTCAGCTTGTAACCAGGCCTGTTCTTTCATGGTCATTTCCTATTCCTCGTGTATCTGGGCCTTAGAACGCAGTGGTCATGATAAAAACAGTCAACGCTAACCAGCCGCGCTACTAGAAAGCTTGCAAACGCTGCCCAGGGACACCCACTGACCGCCTGCAGTAACAACCTAGAAAGCACAGGCCACACGCTGTGGGCCCCTGGCCACACAAAGGCAGACTTCCTCATGCTGGGAGCTTCTGGAGACCACAGTCCCGGGGAGCAGACACTTTCCACAGCCCGCAGCGTGGCCGCAGCTGACCAACACCGGTGTCTGTCTGGGCACCGCTGGTTCAGGCTGGCACCGCAGTCGGTGAGGGAAAACGTCTGCACCGTGACCGTAAAACCCCGCAGCCGGACCCTCTGATGTCAAGCTCAGTCCGAGGCTGCTGAAGAAATTCCCTCAGCACCGGAGCCAGGGCGCGCTCCAGGCCTCTGAAGCCCCACCTTCCTTTCAGTCGTCAGCAGCCAGCTGTCCTGACTTTCCCTAGAACCACGCACTGCCCCTCCCGCCCAGCAAAGCCCCGCAGGGCGGCATCACAAACGGCAAAGGACACTTCAAAGACTCCACGGAAAGGCCCCACACTTCTTACAGAAGCGCCCCCACCCCGCCCGACCGGCGTGTGGACGGCCCTCCAGCACCTGCTGCCCCTCCGTGGTAACAGGGAGACCCCTCTCGCGTGCGCCTGTCCCCGGGGCCCAGGGGTCACTCAGCCGCACCAGCCCTTGTGCACTCCAGCGGCCGAGAGATCCTGTCGGGACTCCGGAGCCTGCCCGGCCTGCAGCGGCGCAGAGCTGTCCAGTGCGCCGCCGGGGCTGCGGCTGCACGGCCAGAGGACTTACTGGAGTTCCTGGAGAGCTGGGCGTCGCTGCTGGACTTGGTGACCTTGTAGCCGGCGGGGACGTCGGACGTGGTGGACTGGGACCGCTCTGGCTTGACTCGCAGCTTGCTGTGGTTTTCCAGGACTTGGGCCGCGGTGGCCAGAGCAACTTTTGAGTTCAGAGTTTGGAAAGAAGGGGAGGAAAAGTCCTCTTCCTCGTCGTCGCCAATGTCCCAAGCGTCACTGGTGTTCCGGGCAAACTCGTGAAAACTGGAGGCCTTCTTACTCTTCAGAGGAACTGTGTTGGCTTTGGACCGCTCTTTAATGAAACTTCAAGAAAGGAGAAACCATTACCCAGGGCTGCTGGGCACGTCTGACCTTCTGACCACCTTCACTACCTGGCGGCGCACATCAGTGTAACAAACAACCCCACTTAATCATCACTTCTCCACATCCGCGGCTCCTTGGGGAGGACAGAGGTGCACAGTGCCCCGTCCCCACATTTCCCAGGCGCCCCTGGGCTAGGGCGGGAGCGGGAGGACGTCCACGGGCGTGGCTTCTCCAGGCCCCACCCCCAGGTCCCTCTGCTCAGAGTGGAACACAGCCCCCACCCGGTCCAGGCCACATGGGGCACAGAGCACAAGCAAGCGATACACCTGTGCTGTGCTACTCCGCTGAGATTTCAGAGTAGCACGGTCCAGCAACAGCACTAGAACTGGTCCTTACCATAGGCACAAGCCCCTGGGAAACGGAGGCAATTTTAGGGAGGTCACAGATGCGGTTTAAGTACCACAGCAAATGCGTTCTTTTGTTTGTTTGTTCATTTTTTCCAGGATTAGCAGTTGGACCCAGGGGTGCTCTACCCATGAACCACACCCACAGCCCCTCCTTTACTTCTTATTTTGGGAGGGTCTTGCTAAATAGCCTGTTTGTCTTGAACTTGAATCTTCTTCTCTCTGCCTCCTGAATAGTTGGGATTAGGGCACTGCCACTGTGCCTGGCTACAACATTCTTTTTTAAAATGTCGAATTTGCCAGGCATGGTGGCGCATGCCTGTAATCCCAGCACTCCGCAGGCTGAGGAAGGAGGATTCCTGTGAGTTCGAGACCAGCCTGGGCTACAGAGTGAGTTCCAGGTCAGTCTCAACTACATAGTGAGACCCTGTCTCAAAAAACCAAAAAAAAAGAGTCAAACTTGCGCTGGGAATTTAGCTCAGTGGTTCCACTGCCTGCCTTGTAAGCACAAGGACCAGAGTTCAATCCCCACTCACCCCCGCAAAAAAAAGTCAAAGTCTGTCAGGCATGGTGGTGCACACCTGTAATCCCAGCACTCAGGAGGCTGAGGCAGAAGGATCACTGTGAGTTCGAGACCAGCCTGGGCTACACAGTAAGGCCTTTAGGTCTGTCCCCCCTCATTTCTTTTAGCAAAGAGAGAGAAGCTTTAGGATCAAGATATTTGTAAGCAACAGGATCTGGCTTAAATTTTAGTAAGTGTTTTTCACTGTGCTTATTTTTTAGATTACTTTCTATTTGTGGTAAATGACGTTGGTTTTCTATTTAGACAAGAGATAAGGTTTATTTTTAAGAATAAATTTGAGTAAAGAAAATGAGTATTTTTAAAACATACGTAATAAATAATAGTATAAATATTGCAGAAACGTACAGAGGCCTACGACTGACGCTGGGAGACACGAGGTCAGTCTTCTGAGGATGGTGGCCTCGTCCTGAGGTCACACACGCCATCCCAGCCTTCCTGATCTCCTCAGTCTGTCCCACGCCCTTGCCGCTCAGGGTCTGGGCCTTGATTCTGGTTCCAGGACCCATCTGATGGGACATTTCTAACCATGTCGTATGCACCAGACGGTGACAGGAAACAGACTGGGACACTGGGACACCCACACCGCTCAGTACCTCCCTGCACCCCAGCAGCAAGGTGGCCGCTCTAGAGCGCAAACGCAGCTCTGCCGGAAGAGTCACATCCCTCTCCAAGAGGCAGAGGCAGTGGTCTGCTAACCTGGCCTATATGCAGATGGGCCAATCCCACTGTAAGAGACAGTTTCGATAATTAACTTCTATAGCTCACAAAACCGTTCCCAGTATGAACACTAAAAAAGGGGGTAAGTTATCATCAAACGCTGTCTGTCTGTGATGGCACACACCTGTGATTCCAGCTACACAAGAGGCCGAGACAGGAGGGTGTCCAATTTAAGTCAACCTGAGCAACTTAATGAGAAACTGTCTTAAAAAAGAAAAAGGGTCAGGGATCTAGATTGTCCCTGGGTTCAATTTTCAGTACTAGGAGGAAAAAAAAAAAGAAAGGAAGGCATTAAAGCATCACTTTAAAACACCAGCCTTATACGGAGAAAAGGAAAATACACAGAACAAAACAGAGATGAACACAAGAATTCAAGGACACCGCTCATACAGGATGGAGACAGAAGACTTCACCCAGTACATCAGCAACAGTCTAAAGAGTCAGTCTGTTCAGCGAGGGACAGGTAAGGGAAACCCGCTTTCTTATATAATCCTTGGCAAGCAACCCTGTAGCACTCATGAACCTCAGAATGGCTCATTATCTCTGATGATAAAAAAGACAGATGCAAACAAAGATGATCTAAAACAGTTTAAAAAGTAACTACTCTAAGCACAAGGTTATGAGTTCAATCCCTGGTACCAAAAA